TAGTCGTGTCAAATGACCCGAAAATGTTACGAATAACTATCAGCCCACAACCCTACATATATATGGTGTTTCTCCACACCCTTCCACCTCTAAAACTCCACAAAATAGTAGTAAAACACGCAGCCCAATAACANACACATCAATGCTAAACTCAATCTCCCTTTCAGGAGGAAGGCCTAGGAGTTCATCTGGGAAAATATCTGGGAATTCGTTGACCACGGGGATTGATTGTAAAGTAGGCGGTTTCGCCACCGCATCACTAACGCGAACGAAATGATAAATGTAACCTTTTGAGATCATTTTCCTTGCCTTAAGATAGGAAATAAACCTACCTTTTGGTGTAGCAATGTTACCTTTCCATTCAACGACGGGTTCACCCGGAAATTGGAACCTAATCATCTGCGTATGACAGTCAACATTTTCATAGCATGAGGCCAACCAGTCCATTCCCATTATCACATCAAAATCAACCATTTCTAACTCAAATAAATTTGCCGAGGTTTGACGACTACAAATCATCACAGTGCAACCTCTATATACCCTTCTAGCAATCACAGAATCTCCTATCGGAGTAGATACCGCAAGGGGTTTACTTATCAATTCAGGTTCAATGCCAAACTTATTAGCCACAAAGGGTGTAATACATGATAATGTAGATCCCGAATCAATCAGCGCATATACATCATAAGAAAACACAGATAATATACCTGTAACAACATCTGGAGACGACTCGAGATCCTGTCGACCTACTAGAGCATAGGTTCGATTTTGACCACCACTCGAACTCGGCACTGCACCTCTACCTCTACCACGACCTGTCGACTGCTGAAAACCCCGTGCTGGAGGTCGAACTGATGAGGAAGAAGCAGACACAGATCCAGTCGGCTGAGCCATACCATCACCTCCCCTGTTAGGACAATTGAGCCATGTCGCCCAATGTATGCCACTTACCGACATCTTGACGATTATGCCATTCCAAAGCTGCCCCAGTCAAGCTCTCACTGAAATACGCCATCAACAAATGATCTTTCTCGCCAACACCTCTCATTTCACTGCAATAACCCCTCATATGGGCTACCGGATCTCCACCCCCATCATACAAGTTAAACTTTGGCACTTTAAACCCCGCGGGCAGGCGAACGTTAGGGAACATACACAACTCTTTGTAAGATATGCTAACCTGGTGTCCCGTCCCTTGCATGTTCTTTAAAGACTGTTTTATGCTTTTTAGCTTCCCGAATATCTCATCTCGCCCTTCTTTTCCTGTAACCTTTTCATTTTCAGCATGAAGCTCATCCCGAGGTCTCTCCTTGTGGGCAACCTTTGAGAGGTAATATTGGGCATCATGAGCTTTGAGTGGGTATTCATTGTTGGGAATCATTGTTGGGAATGACGGATATGACAGGAGGACAATTTTGGGGAGAGGTAATTAGAAGATGAGTGATGGAGCTACTAGGGTGGTTGGGAAAGCGATGATAAATGGGTGGATCTTGAGAGTATGGAGGATCATCTGGCACTATGACCGGAGTTTGGGTAAGGGTAGCATCTAAGAAGCTAGGAGGTGGCGGGGATGGTGCCTTCCCAGTCATCCAGGCCTGATAGATGTCCATCATGTGTTGTCTTAACATCCTTACCTCATCAGTCAAACCAGTGTCCTGTTCAACCAACGGCTTTCGGGCACCGTTATCAACCAACCCAATTTTATTGTTTTCCGCCATTGCCTTTTGACTTTATGTTGTGGAGAGGAGTTACTACTTTGAGAACCACAAACCAACCACATTTCTGCTATGAATATATCAAAAAGAATAAAATAGAGTCATCCCGTTAGCGTTAGGGCATTTAACAACATAAACATCACATTGCGTGCAATGCACCTAGTAACAATTAATGGTTCTAGAATGACTTCGAGGGTCATAAGGTCACTTGGCATCATCCCAATTTGTCCATTTGAATCTTCTCTTTTCTTTTCTTTCCTCGCACTTCTTAGCTCGCTCATTTTCTTTCCCCTTTTTTCTTTCTGATTATCGCTCTTTTTCTTCCTTCTCATTTTTCACATCCTATAATTTCACCATCTTTTTTCTTCTTTGTTTCCCTTTTTTTCTTTTTCTTTTCTTTTTCTTTTTCTTTTGGTAAATAAAAAAATAATTTGATCGAACCTTATGTAGGTTGTCTACGTATCATGAAGCCACATGAATCAGATCTTTGCGTAGTTCGGGAAAATCAGAAATAAAGTAAACAAACTAATGTTCTCTTTTTTTCTTTTTCTTTTTCTTTTTTTACCTTAATGACTACTCTGATGAGAAAAAAGAAATAAAAGAAACAAATCCTTTTTTTTTAATTTTTTTTAGACTTAATGTTCTATAACTTATTCCAAACTCAAGCTTAACGAGCATATTTTTTCTTCCTTTTTTTTAAACAAATACACTATGGGAAATTATTAAGGACAAAACCCTAGAAGAAAAAAAAATTCTTTATTATTTTTTTAGTTAGAAGTGTGCTTTTCATAAATAAAAATAAGTAAATAGAAGTGTGCTCTCTCTAACAGTTTAAGCGAGTATCCGATCAAAGTAAATTATTATAATAAAAATAAGTCACACACTTCAAAATTTCAAATGCACAAATTCTTTAGGTTCTGTTTCTTTTTGGCATGCGAGTATCCAATCAACTATTCTGTCATTACATACTTGAAAAGACTTGATTCTCACATACAATCAACTAATTCTGTGTCTAACTCCTGAAACCATAAAATTGTAGCTTGGGCAGAAAGAACTTAGAAATGTGTATGATGCACTAGCTAAATCTAGCAGGGCTCTCATCAAACATGGATTCTGCTGGTGTTTTAGCTGTGTTATCGATGTGTCCTCATCGTTTAGCCAAACTGCATCTGCTGAAAAATAAATAGGAATTTTTTTGGACAAATTCATCCCAATATCTATCAAGTAACAAACAAAGTTCCTAATACTTCAGGCAATATTTTGTCCGCATACCCCCTCCTCCCTTGAGCCGCTGGAGTTATCACAACAATCGCTAGGGGATATAAAATAGAGCTATTCCAAGAGTAAATACAGGCATGAGAACATTGGCTGCCAACAAGGCATCGATGAAATTGTAGACTAATGCATGTGGGTTAAGCAAGTTGTCTGGTGGATTAGCGTGTACAAGCCAGAAGATCACGTGGATTGGAACACAACTTTCAGATTGTATCCAACATGGTCACACCTTGAAGCCTTGGAGAACAAAGCACTGTTATATTACTTCTATTTATTACAAGCATATTCAAAGTGCAACTTGAGGGATCTCTCAATAACAGAAGGTTTCCTTACCCCACGACCCAAGTCTTAGCATGTTCTTCTGCTTCCGGCAAGGAGAATCAAGTAAGTAGTCAGCAGCTTCAACCAGAATAACCAAATAGTGCAGACAAAGTGCAGCTGAACAATGCAGAATTTGCTTTCAAAAAGATACTCAAAACTTGAATTTCAGTAGTGTATTGTTGGCATATAACCTGGAGCAATGCAGTTGAGTTAACTGAAGCTAAAACTTGTGCAAAACTCCCTCAACTGTTCAGAAAAACTGTCGTAACATCAATCCCCCCAAAAAACGAACATCTTCACTATTGAACAGAAACTGAACAATACAGGACTGCGGGCAGCAAGCACAAAATCTTTTACAGCAACAGGAAACTAGCAGCAAACCTTCAACTTCTATCAGCAGATTCTAACCAACTGGACAATAGTTTATGGAACAAGAGCACTCAATTCAACAAGGAGAATATTTTAGAAGTAAAAACCAGATTTCAACTATCACTGCTGAACTCAAGCACAATCTCAACTAACACAAATTTTCGGCAGACTTAGCTTACTATATGCTCAACCAAATCATAATTCAAGCTACTCAATCTCTAGTCCAACTGAATCCCCTCAATTAAACTCAATGACAACAACAACTATTTGAAACTGTTGGTAACAAGTTCAAACTAGGGGAATTTCAGCTATCAATTTACTCTAAAAACTTCAATGCAGGATTTACTTTCAAACATGGCCCCATAAATAGCTCATAGATTGAATTAAAATCACAAAACAATGCTCCCACAATCAAGGACTGATCCCAACAGAACATTCATCAGCATATAAGCAGTTTGACAAGAGAATTTCAACTTGAACTCTAAATATTTCAACAGTAGAGTCCAACAATACAACTCAGTTCACACTATTCCCAACAAGCAACTCCTGAATTTGGCTAAGATCCCGCAAAGCCAAGAACCTAAGATTTACTAGGAAGACCAGACCCTATGCGGGTTGCCTACGTATCACGCCCCAAAAGACGAGAATCAGGTATGCATAGTTCAGGCAAATTGGATACGGGCGAGAATTAAAAAAAACACAACTAATTTAGAGAAAACATATTTTTTGTCTTTTGTTTTTGAAAAATGATGAAACATGTAAACCCTTTTGGATTTTCTTTTTCTGATTTTTTTTTTGAACAAAATAATGGGGAAGTGCAAAATCTTTTTGGATTTTTCCATTTTCATTTTTTGGTCTTTTCTTAAAAATAAAATGTGAAAGAAAAACATAACTGGGCCCTACTTGCTTTATTTTTTACACTTCACCCTCTTTTTTCTCATTTATCCTCAAACCTCATTGGTCACCCAAATGACCTCGTTTACCCTTGAAAATTGCAACATGTAGCACATAAGATGCAACAGGATAGTCTTTTGTTCTTTGGGTACACCTGCCCTAGACGGACTCAACCCCTGTATTGAGTCCCCAAAGTCAAATGCACGTGATGCAAACAAGCATTCCTACTAGGGATCCGGCATGAGGCTGAGTTATTCTAAGTTTAAAACTTGGATATATTGTTCTAGACCTGGCTTACCCGAGCGGACAACTTGAGCCGAGGGGGGGCTGCGTACTGGTAACCAAAAGATCATCCGGCTTTGCAACTTGTCCGACCCTCGTTCTATTTGGGATATGACACAAACAAAAAGAAGTCACGACCAACGTGCACTCCTCGGGAGAGAGAAGAGAGGGGTTTCGTAACAGTTCATATACAGTTCGGATAATATCAAAGCGGTAAAAGCAACATTTAGCATATTAGGCCCAAACATGTAATAAAATCAGATAATAAATAAAGTCAACTACAACAATTATTCTAAGCTCGAATTCTTGAACCCTGAACCAGAGGTCGTGGGTTCGATCGCCAGAGCTGTCACACCTCCTTTTTACCTACACCCCCAGAAGGGTATATAAGGGAGTTTTTCCAATTTAAGTGACAATCGAAATGAGATTATTTATTTAAAGATTCAGAGTAGCCACTTGGGATAATTTATAGTGTCCCAAGTCACCGGTTTCAAATCCCGAATCGAGGAAAGATTGACTCTGTTTTACGTCCGCGAACACAGAAATTCGGGTAAGGAATTCTGTTAACCCGGGAGAAGATGTCATGCATTCCCGGATTCCGTGGTTCTAGCACGGTCGCTCAACTGTTATATTTGGCCTATTTACTTGATTTTAATACATGTTTTAGCCTATGGTTCAATTTTAACCTTATAGCCGCTTTTATTCATTTTTAGGAAGATTGCAACGTCATTTAAAATACGTCTTGATCCACATCACATAAATGCACTCGCAGTCCGCAACATATTTTATCTAACGTTATTGAGATTTGGATTTGGGTCACATAAATGCGCACCCGACTTTAGGAAGGTAAATTTTAAAATACGCACCTAAAATGAACTACGCATTTTTAAACTTTGCGAGGGCCATGAAAATTCAACTAAATGACATGCCCCGATTTCTAGGATTAAAGTTAGTTAAATGAGGGCCACGAATTTTGAGATTTTATTTGGCATAGCACACCTCAAATAATTTCCTACATTAGATAGTTAGTTAGTTTACTCCTACCAATTTACGACATCAAACTGTTCCAGCCACTTTGATTTGCAGCCTTAACCACTCATTAACTAAACAATCATTTGCAAAAATATTCAGCTTTACACTAAGACAGAGACATTTATACGAGAATAACCACTTTTCACGTTGTTGAGCCTTACGCTTGAGATATAAAATTCCAGTAGCTAAATGACATTTATCATAGCACTACAAAGCCCAGATTTTAACACATGAACTAGATTAAACCATCTAAAGCAAACTTGCATACTTAATAAACAAATACCATATTTAGCATTCAATTGCAAATGATTTACTTCAAGTAAACATGCTAGAATCAGTGGATTAACCTCATAGATCCATTCTCATCTATACATTCAAAGAAGCACCTCAAACATACCCAAGTAATATCTAAACAAGCTTAAAAGCTTCATCAATTGCTATTCGAATTTGCATTGCAAGAGTCCGAAGATTAGCTCCAGCACACATTGCTTCTCGACTTCCTCAAATCAATTAACAATTACAACAAATCTCCGATTAACAATTACCACAAACCTAACCACAGAGTGTTCAACGATATGATACTTTTACTGTTAACGAGCTTAGTTCAAGTAAATAAAAATCAGCTTGGAAAGCAATTTCAATTTTGATACCTTCAACTCAAAACAAAGAACCCCAATTAGATATTTGACAGCAAAAAACAAAACTCCATAGATCTGATGGACGAACACAAGGAATCCGAAAAACTGAACATATTCATAGAGTCAATAATCCAAATATTCATCTATATTCAAAAGAGGATCCCGGGTAAATATATACATACCTAAACACCGAAAATAAACTGGAGATAACCAACACAATTCTGAAATATAAGGCAAAATCCAGCAGCAGAAACAGAGACAAACCAGCGACCAAATGAGTTCAACTCGACGGCAACGGACAACGATTCAATCCGCCAAATTTCTTAACTAGTGCCTGAATCGGAAGCTCTAAACCCAAATGTCACTTGACATTCCAGAAAAATTGAAGTAAAAAATAAGTAGAAGTGTGAATAGCTTTCAAATCCTCCTTTGTTTCTGTTTTGGTTTGTATTTGAAACTCTCTTTTGAATTTTCAAAGCTGGGCTTGAATTTTGGACATGAATCGATGGCACCTGTATGTGGGGAGTAGCAAGAACTCTTGGGTCTGCTCATCTGTCCAGAAAAGATGAAGAGCTCTCCATTTCATCTTTTCTTGTGCGCCGCTTGGGTCTGATCAAAGAGAGTGTGTCTAGGTTTTTATTTTAGGAGTTAACATTATTATATAGGGGTAGGAATTAGGTTAGGTTAAATGGGGAAAAGGGTATGAGCTCAATGTTTTTGTGCTTTTGAAGGAATTTGGGTCATGAATTTGGGCTAGTTAACTTTAGGGTAGGAAGATTAAATCAAAACTCCTTTTTTTCATTTTTCTTTTCCTTTGATTTTAAAAATCCTAAAATCAAAAACCTAGATTATCTAAAAATGTGAAATTAAGCTAATTAACTAATTATAAAAAATACTTAATCCTAAATTAAAAGAGAAAAAATCAATAAAAGTGTAAAAAATGAAGCATTTTTTTTGTGATTTTCAATTTTTTTTATAAAACAAGTAACTACCGATTAGTCCTAAAAATGTACAAAATGAAGCCTAAATGCCATGAGTAATATTTTTGGTATTTTTCATGATTTAAATAAAATAAATGTGCACAGACAAATGCAAGCAATTAACAAAAAATGCTACAAAAATCCACGAAATTGCAAACAATGGGAAAGATTTATTTTGTTGAATTTATGGGAATAATTCATATAGGGCAAAAATCACGTGCTCACAGAACTCACACTTCGAAAACTTAGCATACAATTGACTATCCCTCAAAGTCTGAAGAACTGATCTAAGATGATGCTCGTAGTCCTCCCAGTTGCAGGAATATATCAAAATATCATCAATGAAGACTATCACGAACGAATCCAAGTAAGGCATGAACACTCGGTTCATCAAATCCATAAAAGCTGCTGGGGAATTTGTCAACCTGAATGACATCACCAAGAACTCATAATGCCCGTACCAAGTGTGGAAAGCTGTCTTAGGGACATCGAATGCCCTAATCCTCAACTGATGGTAGCCAGATCTCAAATCAATCTTCGAAAATACCTTGTCACCCTGAAGCTGATCAAACAAATCATCGATCCTCGGCAATGGATACTTATTCTTGATTGTAACTTTGTTCAACTGCCGGTAATCAATACGCATTCTCATCGATCCATCCTTCTTCTTAACAAACAACACCGGCGCACCCTAAGGCGAAACACTGGGTTTAATGAAACCATTCTCAAGCAAGTCTTGCAACTGCTCCTTCAACTCTTTCAACTCAGGCGGAGCCATACGATATGGCGGGATAGAAATGGACTGAGTATCCGAAGCCAAATCAATACAGAAGTCAATATCCTTGTCGGGTGGCATACCCGGTAGGTCTGAAGGAAATACCTCAGGGAACTCACGAACAACAGGAACAGAATCAATAGAAGGAACCTCGGCACTAGAATCACGAACATATGCCAAATAGGCCAAACACTCCTTCTCGACCATACACTGAGCCTTCACATAGGAGATAACACTACGGGTAGAATGATTAGGAGTCTCTCTCCACTCTAAACGAGGTAAACCCGACAAGGCTAAGGTCACAATCTTGGCATGACAGTCCAAGATAGCGTGGTAAGGTGATAACAATCCATCCCCAATATGACATCGAAATCAACCATGTCTAGAAGCAATAAATCTACACGAGTCTCAAGACCCCCAATCCCCACAATACAAGAACGATGGACTTGATCTACCACAATATAATCACCCACCGGTATAGACACATAAACAGGAGCACTCAAAGAATCACTAGGCATGACCAGATACGGTGTAAAATAAGATGACACATAGGAGTATGTAGACCCTGGATCAAATAAAACTGAAGCATCTCGGTCACAAACTAGAACAGTACATGTGATAACTGCATTGGAAACCTCAGCCTCAGGCCTGGCTGGAAGAGCATAACATCGAGGTTGGGCCCCACCACCCTGGACTACATCTTTGGGACGGCCTGCAGCTGGCTAGCCTCCACCTCTAGAGGTTTAAGCTCCACCTCTAACACCTCTACCTCTACCTCTAGCACCTCAATCCCCACCTCTAGTTGGCTGGACGGGCTGTGGAACACCAGGTGCCTGAACTATAGCACGGGAATTCTGCTGCTGTGACTGAGTACCCACCAATCTCGGACAAGCCCTCCGGATATGACCATACTCACCACACTCAAAGCATCCACCTAAATGATGCGGTTGAGGAAACTGAGACTGACTCTGGCGACCTGAATGACCACCCCGAAAACTCTGGAGCGGCGGTGCACTGATAGAGGCTGGTGGTGCACTATAGGACTGCTGATCAGAATACTGCATCTGAGAACTACGGCCACCTGAAGCACCATGAGAAACCTAAAGTGTTGACTGAAAGGGCCTAGCAGGATAGCCTCTACCATATGAATCCCTGCCTCCAGACGAGGTACCACTGAATCTGCCTGAATGACGAGGCCTCTTGTCCGACCCATGACCACCTCCCTGCGACAGAACCATCTCCACTCTCCTGGCCACATTGGCCGCCTCCTGGAAAGAAATCTCACTCCCTGTCTCCCTATCCATCTGAATACGAATCGGCTGTAAGTCCATCAATAAACCTCCTCATCCTCCCTCTCTCGGTGGGAAGTATAATAAGAGCATGATAAGCCAAATCGATGAATCTGGTCTCATACTGGGTAACAGTCATAGAACCCTGCTGGAGACACTCAAACTGCCTCCGATAGGCCTCTCGCTAAGTGATGGGGAGAAACTTCTCCAGAAATAGCTGAGTAAAATGCTCCCAAGTCAAAGCTGGTGATCCGGTTGGTCTAGCCAAGCAATAATCTCTCCACCAAGTCTTAGCGGATCCCGACAAACGAAAAGTAGCAAAATCGACCCCATTGGTCTCTACTATCCCCATGTTCCTGAGAACCTCACGACAGTTGTCTAGATAATCCTGAGGATCCTCAGAAGATGCACCGCTGAAAGTAGTAGTGAAGAGCTTGGTGAACCTGTCCAATCTCCACAAAGCATCAGTAGACATAGCTTCTCCATCACCGGTCTGAGCTACCACACCCGGCTGAACTGCTCCAACTAGCTGAGCTGCTGGAGTCTGAAACTGGGGAGTCATCTGCTCCGGAGTGCGAGAAGCAGGAGTCTGGGCTCCTCCTCCAGTGTGAGAGATGGCTGGTACTACAGGAAGCAAGTCTGCCCAGGTGACACTCTCCAAAAGGCCCACTAGACGGACCAAAGCATCCTGGAGTACCGAGGTAGCAATAAACCCCTCTAGGACCTGAGCTGGGCCCACCGAAACTTTCTGGGCCGGAACCTCATCATCAAAGTCAACCTGAGGCTCCGTCGCTGGTACTGGTGCTCTGGGCTGAGCTCTGCCCCTGCCTCGGCCTCTAGCACGGCCTCGGCCTCACCCTCTACCCCTCGTGGGAGCTGCTGCTGGGGGCTCTGGCTGCTGATCGGTGGATGAGGAAGCGCGTGTTCTCGCCATCTGCGAAAGATCAGAGTAGAAATTCAATTAGCATTGAGAAACCAAGCCGCCCGACAAGAAAGAATAAATGTGAAGTTTTTCCTAACTCTGTAGCCTCTGGGGGATAAATACAGACGTCTCTGTACCGATCCCTCAGATTCTACTAAGCTTGTCCGTGAATTGTGAGACCTATGTAACCTAGAGCTCTGATACCAACTTGTCACGACCCGAATTTCCCACCCTCGGGAGTCATGATGGCGCCTACTCGTGGAAGCTAGGCAAGCTGCGCAATAAAGAATCACTAACTCTTTTATTTTAGCCCTTTTTAATAATTTTGATTAACAGGTAATCAACATTTAATATTAACGATAAATAGAACAAGCGGAAGACCTAAACTGATAAAATAACCAAAACCAGTACTACAATGTCAACATACTCTTCTACCCGGAATCCGATGTCACAATATCTTGGATTGTCTATGAGTACTACATACAAGTGTCTGAAAAGAAAATACAATCTGTCCCGGAAACAAGTGAAAACAGAACACATAATAAGATAGAAGAGAAAGCCGGGTCTGCGGATACCTGCAGGACTACCTCGGGATCTCTAGCTGGACTAAAGACAGCCACCCAAATTGTCACGCCCCGAACCTGGGGAAGCATGGCTGACACTCGGTGCCGAGCTGCCCCAAGCGAACCACTCTGTAACTTATTCTTTCTGTGTTCATGATGGGCGAACATGGCCACAACTCACAATGCATAACTATACGTGGTCACACACTGTATCAATGAACCATCTTTTTTAAAACATGAATATATTTGGGCCGTCAAGGTCTCTGACATACTGTACAAAATGAATGTCTGTCTATAAAGCCTCTACGATTATTTGATATCAAATGGGATAGGGTATCGGCCAACCTATAAGTATGTAGTAAAACTATGATATGATGACATAAGTATGTAGTAAAACTTGCAAATATCCTAGTTTCATGACAAAACATTTTCCTTGATCACCCTTGTTCCAGCCTTTACGGAAACTAGCATCCAATTTATTAATTCTTTGTTAAAAGACAAGGAACTTGAACAGATGAAAGCCTAAAGATCTAAGTTACCCTACAAAAACCTTTCTCAATCTTTAAACTTTAAAGAACTTGATTTGTGCTTGGACCTACTCTACCTTAAATTAGAGCTTATACTTAAGCAAAGCCTTCTGCTAATTCTCTTGCATACTATTCATCTTTTAACCAAGGCCAGTGTATTTCTCGTTGAAATCTTTACTTAGTCAAAATGCAAAGTTTATCCATTCAGTAAATAAACAATAAGAGAGTGTGTGAATATATCTTGTTGTATTCTCTAACCAAGTGACACCTTTCCATGTACTATATGAGTCACTTAGTGGCCTTTTGACCAGTTTATGGGCTGCCACATTAATGGTGGAGAAATTTTAAATCTTTATCCAACTTATTAGTTAATTAGGTAATGTCTCGTTATTCGATAATTTAACCAATTACCCTCATAATTAAGAATTATTTCAAATTACTTAAAATACTACTCAGTTTTAATACATTTTATATAACTTACTATCATGGTCATATGGTGCCGTGTAAAATAAATACATATACTATTATTTCATTAAAATATTCATGTAAAAATACATATATTTTTCTCAATTTTTAATTTTC